GGCCTGGGTGTTATCAGCACCACACTCTCCCGAGTGAGCCACGGGCCGGCCCCACAAAAAATGTTCTTTAAAGAAATTAAAAGCGCTACTCCAGTGAACACACAAATAGGAAAGTGAAACAGCTTTCTTGCCAGTAGAGAGCAAGTTTTAGTGGTCTGGACAGAAGATCAAACCAGGTGTGTCATTCCCTTAAGCCAAAACCTAATCCAGAGCAACCCCCCCAACCCCCTCACTGCTCAAACAAACAAACAAAAGAAAAACAGGGCAAGGCCCTAACTCTCTTTGATTCTATGAAGGATGAGAGGCAAGAAGCTGCAGAAGAAAAGTATGAAGCTAGCAGAGGCTGATTCATGACGTTTAAAGAAAGAAGCTGTCCCCCTAACATAAAAGTGCAAGGTGAAGAAGCCAGTGCTGATATCGAAACTGTAGCAAGTTACCCAGAAGATCTAGCTAAGGTAACTGATGAAGGTGGCTGCACTAAACAGACTTTCAGTATGGACAAAACAGCCTTCTATTGGAAGATGATGCCATCTAGGTCTTTCATAGCTAGAGAGAACTTAATGCCTGGCTTCAAAGCATCAAAGGACAAGCTGACTCTGTTAGGGGCTAATGCAGCTGGTGACTTCAAGTTGAAGCCAGTATTCATTAACCCTTCTGAAAATCCTACAACCCTTAAGAATTATACTAAATCTACTTTGCCTGTGCTCTATAAATGGAACAACAAAGCCTAGTTGACAGCACATCTGTTTATAGCATGGTTGACCGAATATTTTAAGCCCACTGTTGAGATCTACTGCTCAGAAAAAAAGATTTCTTCAAAATATTACTGCTCACTGACAAGGCACTCGGTTGACCAAGAACTCTAATGGAGATGTACAAAAATGATGTTGTTTTCATACCTGCTAACACAACACCAACTCTGTAGCCCATGGATCAAGGAGTAATTTTGACTTTTGAGTCTTATCATTTAAGAAATACATTTTGTTAAGGCTAGAGCTGCCCACAAATACTGATTCCTCTGATGGAGCTAAGCAAAGTAAACTGAAAACCTTCTAGAAAGGATTCACCATCTAGATGCCATTAAAAACATTCGTAGTTCATGGGAGGAGGTCAAAATACCAACATTATCAGCAGTTTGGAAGAAGTTGATTCCAACCCTCATGAATTACTTTGATTCAAGACTTCAATGGAGAAAGTCACTGCAGATGTGGTGGAGATAGCAAAAGAACTAGAATTAGAAGTGGAGCCTTAAGATGTGACTGTATAGCTACAATCTCCTGACAAATGAGGAGATGCTTCTTATGGATAAACAAAGAAAGTGCTTCCTTGAGATAGAATCTACTCATGGTGAAGATGATGTGAATATTGTTGAAATCACAACAGATGATTTAGAATATTACATAAACTTAGTTGATAAAGCAGTGGCAGGGTTTGAGAGGACTGACTCCAATTTTGAAGGAACTTCTACAATGGGTAAAATGCTATCAAACAGCATCACATGCTACAGAGTAATCTTTCGTGAAAGGAAAAGTTAATCGATGTGGTAAACTTCATTGTTGTCCTATTTTAAGAAATTGCCACAGCCACCCCAAACCTTTAGCAACCACCACCCTGATCAGTCCGCAGCCTTCAACACTGAGGAAAGACCTTCCACCAGCAAAGAGGTCAACTTGCTGAAGGGTCAGATGATCATTAACATGTTTTAGCAATAAAGTATTTTTAAATTTAGGCATGTACATTTTTTTTTTGTAGACATAAAGCTATTCCATACCTAACAGGCTACAGTATAGCATAAACACAACTCTTATCCGCACTGGAAAACCAAAAAATTTCGGGCCGGCCCGGTGGCGCACTGGATAGTGCGCCGCTTGGGAAGCGCAGCGGCGCTCCCGCCCGAGGGTTCGGATCACACGCACCCAAAAAAAGCTAGTAGGGAAACTTGCCAGAATTTGAACCCAGATCTGCCAAAACTCCAAAGTCAGACCATAATTGTGTCTCCCAGTGTGTAAATATCTATCAAATACTTTGTGCACATGTGTGAACATGCCAAACTTTGAATGATTTAAGTATAACCTGTATTTTAATACTTAGGACAGCATCATAAAATTAATTTCTAAATGAATATTGAAATTTATCCAGTTTCTATGTTTAGCAATTGGTGTTAATTTACCTCTCATAAGTGCTAGAAAGGTTCTACAATACCTCCTCCAGCCCTTTTATACTATTCAAGCTTTTTATTAGCCCTAATGTTGATTGCCTTCCCAGGGCATCTACTAGTTTGAGTATAATTTGTCTAATTAAATTTAAAGAAGAGATGTTTCAGGGAGCACCATTTCATCATTTCCTCTTAAACTCTATGCTGTGGACTTTAATGAGGACCTAAACCCCATCTTAACCCAGCCTTAGTTTCAGCACAGATGAGCTGTGCTTGTTAAGACAGTCTTCAGTTGTCAAAAAAAATTTGTGTGACTTGCTGTACTGCAATATTCACTTTGTTGCATTGATCTGGAACTAAACCCATATATACAGGCCTGTATATGCTTGTAGAATACCAAAGTAAAAGTAGGTTTATACTTGAAAGCAGTAAGATATCAACAGCAAATAAATGTAGAGCACATAAATGTTTAAAACAATCCATCTATAAAGTATTTTTTTCCTTGATCCCTCTAGGTCAGTGCTCTTCATAACTATAGTTGCTGAAGACTTGTCATCAGAAATTATTGCAACCCTCTCATTGGTACTGTTTACATTATTTCCAGTGCTCAATACAGGCTAATGGTAGTTGCTAGATTAAAAGGAGGTAAAGAAAAATATATTTTTCCCTGGAATAGATTTTATGCCCACACACATCTACAGAGAAAGGTCATTTTGTTTAGTTATTTAGGGACGTTTCTGTAGGTTCATACTGAGAAGCTATAGGTATGCATAACATATACAGACTTCATTTAATAAGGTTTCCAACTATGTCTCTTGGGGAATAAGTACTGCTCTCAAAGGTACCGACTATTGCAGAGACACTGCTCACTAGTCAACAAATAATACCTTTCGAATGTACTAATAAACAATTAAAAAAGAGTATTATTTTGGCTTTACTAGATTTTAATTGAAGCTATTGTTTCTGTAAGAAAACAATTTATTCTTTATGCCTTAAGTCCAAAAATATAAAGTATAAATTAAAATCGACTTGGGCCAAATGTTTTGAGCTTTTAATAAATTAAGAATAATGTAAAATTTAGGTACATACTTAATTTCTCCATAATCTCTTCATCTGTCATTTTGGTCTTCTTTTTCTGTTTGTCTGAGGACTTGACACCATCAACATTAGAATCACCAACTGGTGCAGGAATAGGGTCAATTACAGATCGTGTATAAATCTGTGGAGACACAGTCCATTACTAAGATTTGAAGAAAAGTATTTTCAGATTCTTACTGGCACACTATTCAGATTTTCTTTTTTTTTTTATTTGTAGCTGGCCGGTAAGGGGATCCAAACCCTTGACCTTGGTGTTACAAGCACCACACTCTCATCAAGTGAGCCAGCCGTATTCAGTTATTTTTTAAACAAAACTAAGCTGTCTCTTTCATTGTTCTAACGAATGAGAATAATACTTTCAGTCTATAAAAGACATGGAACTAAAAAAAAAAAGTGGAACATTTTTCTTTGTCATAGCATGTGTATATTTTAAAAATTTGTCTAGCAAAAGAGCAGGTCCATGAATAAAACTGAAGTAGCCAGATCTAAAATTATGGTTAACAATGTAGAAAAAGAAGCACAGTTTAAAATCATGTTTTTACTACAAGAGATAAATAAAATGTAAAAGAATAGGAACCTCGATGTTGGAACAACTATTACTACTTCCCACAAAAATTTTTACACAAACAATATGTTTGTGTAAAAACCATTTGATTTCAAACAACCAGTTCTAAGGGATTAAAAATATAGAGCCCTCTATCATTAGATCAGGATCCAATGGCAGTACCCAGAGTTTTGCCTTCTCACTGTGCCACCACCATATCACATTCCACTGTGCAGCACCTTCTCCATAATCTACTCGTATTAGCACAGGAAGAAGGATGGCACTTGGAGCAGTTCCTCTTTCTGGCTCCATCTAAGGTCATTACTGTTAAAATTCTCCTTTACCCGGTTAAAAATTATATTTTCAACTGCCTCTTGAATGACATCAAGGCTTTGAGGGAAATATAAAATGGAAGATAAAATACATATTCCAGGTAAGAGGAAAGATCTGTTTTTTATATAATAGTTATCTACATTAAGATAAACAGAGAAAGCCAGAGAAATAGATTAAATTTCTGGAAAAGAAGATGTAATACAGAAAGAAAAAAAACAGTGAGTTAAGTATTTTAACTTTTAAAGAAACCATGAGATTTTAATTTATCCATACTAAAAACTTTTAAATTGAGGACTTTTTCAAGTTAATTACTGGAAGTCAAATACAGATTGCTGTTTTTAAAAACACACATGCATAGATACACACAGCCCAGTTCACTAATCAAACACTCACTGATTTTGTATGATCTGGCCGTGGGGCAATGACAGGAGGAGCAGTTTCTTCATCATCGTCATCTTCCTCTGTTACTACTGCTGATGTTTCTGATCCCTTGGTATTCAGCTGCATTTATCATATGAGCAAATTAAGGAAGATAAGTCATATAGAATAGGTTAAAATGTGACTCACTTGTTCTGAACAAGATTTTTCTTTAATAGCTCATTTCAAAATGATTAAATCTCACTAGTTCTACAATAATCATTTAAATGAAAAGGTGATTCTTATGAGTTATGGAAAAGTAAGTTCATGAAATATATGTATATGATGAATAACAAATATTCTTAAGAAAGAACTATATATACCCTCTAAGTAAGCACACATGTATAATGTCCTAAAAACCAAAAGCAAAGATACTCTGGGTTTTGTATATATCAGAGTCATTTTGAGACATTTAAAATAGTCACATTCACCAGAAAAAGTTGTGGCTAATGAAGCAAAAGGGGAAGGAATTAACCTTTATATGGAGCTTATTACATTCCACTTATGTGCTAGGTATGCACTTTACATGTTATTTTATTTAGACCTCATACAACTCCAGGAGACTCTTTCCTCCCAATTCAGGAACTGAAAAAACAGTGACTGTTTCCAGGAGATAACATGTTTACATGATAAAAAAGTTTCAGACCACTCTGAAGACTAACAAGTTTCAATTGTTTAGTATGCTATAGTCTATATTCAGTAGAATGGTACCAGAAAAGAGATTTTTTGGGGAGGTTGGGAGAATATGCTAGCAAGTTCTTTGTATTCATGTTTGCATATAAACATTACCAAAAGTAGCTAAACTGCTCTGAAGGTCATTATAAATTTTGGTTACTTTAAGTATCATATCAAGGAAATTCTATTAATATGGCTTCTTCAACTAATCAAGTTACTAGCTAAAAACATATATTAAATAGTTATTTATCTCTGATGGCTGTAATTTATCCTAGAAGGCAAAATAAAAACTGAGACTTGTTTTGGGTAATCTAAACAGAGCAAGTGCTACAAGAAATAACATTATTAACTTACTGCTGGTGTTCCAGAAGGGAAGCCATCTTTCTCTGAATATAAAGCAGAAAATAATGTTAGGTTAAACAATTAAAGAAAACTTTTATACAATAAAAAGGAAAAAAATTAAAGCACAGCAAGTGAAATGCTGTTAAGCTGATTTCATCTCAAGTTGAATGAACTCTTAAAAATGACAATACTAGAATTCAAACAAGAATTTATGTAAGACCACGCTAATGAATCATAAAACATAATGGAACTCTGTAAATTTACCCCAAATCACTGAATTATATACTTAAAATGGGTGAACTTTTATCACATGTAAATAAATCATCCTTCAATAAAGTTACTAAAATTTATTTGAAATTATACCTGTCAATCTGTATTCATTAAAACAAATTTTCTCCCAAAAACTGCCTACTGAGGAACTTAAAGCAGCCATTCAAACAATGGCAACTGTGCAATGTAAAATTCTTGACAAGACTTTAATATGTTATATAGGATGAAAAGAATCTACCATTTTTTGGTCAAACATTAAATACTAGTTTACATAGAGTTACTAGTCGACACAAAAGTACTAGGGACAAGTCTGACCTTTTCCTAAGGATGTACTAGAATAAAAAGATCAAGATCACTTGCAGAAATGTCTTTATTTCTTTGAGCATAGCCCTTATGTCTGTGAGGATGCAAACAATTAAGAACGATTAATTAAAAACACATGTATGGTTTTAGCTCAATCATACTACTTTTAAAAAACTACATGTATGACTTCAGGGACAGAAAAATATATTAAATGACATCCTGCAGCTGTAATTAGCAAAAACCACAATGAGAGAAATAGGACAAATGGTCTTATTTCTTTAATAAATAAATTGCAAGGAAAAGACAGGGTAAGAACCAGTGTGAAGGAGGGGAAGCCTAAATATCAAAAGAGATTCAAGAGATCTATCAACCAAGTGTAATGTATGAACTTTATTCTGATCCTGATGTGAACAAATAAATTACTTTTTAAAATCCACTCTACTCCAACTGTTACCCAATGATATTCCAATTCTGATGTACAAATCCTTTTCATTCTTTTTTTTTCCTTTTTGTCTTTTTTACTGACGTTAACGGGATCGCAACCCTCAGTGTCACGCCCGTACCAGGGACTGGCAACGGGATTGCAACCCTCGGTGTTGCGCCTGCACCACGCTCAGCCAGTGAGCGGGAACCGGTCTCCACATGGGATCTGAACCCTCGGCGGGAGTGCCGCCGCGCTCCCAAGTGGCGCACTCTCCAGTGCGCCACCGGGCCGGCCCAAATCCTTTTCATTCTAATACTTATTTTATATATTTATATTTTTGATGAGTTTCAATTTTTGAGTAAAGTTAAACATTTTTTCTTCAAAGTCTGCTCATTTATAGTAAAACAACCTTCCTCCCATCCCACTAACAATAAATATATTTCTAATACGAACATGTCTATAAATCAGCATATTTTCCTTCTATTGCTAGAAGTCATTCAAAAGCAGTGAGGAATTAAAAAAAAAAAAAAAAAAAAAAGCCAAAACATCCATCAACTCCATTTCTGGCAAAATTATGCTTACGAGCTGCCCCAATCAGTTTACAAAAGGCAGAATCTATGCAGGGGAAAAAGTAGACGAGAACCATAGTTTACGTCTTTATTTTTCCAGAAGTAATCTTTTTATCTAGAAGTGCTTCACAACTCTCCATCTGATTCAGCCTTTTACCACTGTCTCATGTCTTACCAGGAGGAGTAAAGCTCAGATACTTTTGCTTAACTGTGTTGGAGTCGTAGAACTTTAAGACATCCAGCACAGCCTGAGGATTCTTCTTTTGCTCTAGTTTGGTGATATTGGAGGTCTGTAATAATCGAGCCCATTGTTCTGGCATGCCCTAACAAAAAGATATTCAGAAATTAGTTGTGGTTTGAACTGCTCTCATAAAATCAATTTCCAGAGATAAATGGCAAAATACATAAATCAATCTGCATAATTGTAGGTTTGACTAAATTCTAAAAGGTCTACTTTTCTAAATATCTGTTTTTCTAAATCTACTTCACAAAATTATAATTAATAGACTCAGTTCCCTAGGAAAAAGATATATCCAACCACTAACACTTTTATAAAAAGTAAAAAGCAGTAAGAATTCATAGTTAACAGATGGATAGAAAAGCTAACTTCTTTTTTTTTTTTTCTTTTCTTTTCTTTTTTTTTAAAGATGACCGGTAAGGGGATCTCAACCCTTGGCTTGCTGTTGTCAGCACCACGCTCAGCCAGTGAGCAAACCGGCCATCCCTATATAGGATCCGAACCCGTGGCCTTGGTGTTATCAGCACCGCACTCTACCGAGTGAGCCACGGACCGGCCTGAAAAGCTAACTTCTAAACTTAATACTGAAGGAAAAGGTTTGAGTGCTGCTATAATGTTATAAATGAGCCCCAACTAGGTAAACTTACAGTGAATTCTCCAGTGACAGCATCAAAGCCAACATGGATGGTGTGCTCAAAATCAGATGGAGGAGAAATTTCTGGCCGTTCCTTTTCTTTCTTTTTACTTCCTAGAGGGCATTAAAAAAAAAAAAATCAGCCAACTTAAACAAGGTTAATAAAAGCACTTATAATCATGTTTATGTTTTCCTTAAAACAGATTAGGAACAGGGTTATTCTAGAAAAGAGATTTCTCCTAAAAGCACTGGCTGATAGGAAACTGGTAAGTGAAGTAAAATAACCTATCCTGCCGTAAAGCAGGGGTGGGGATGACCAGTGTCCTTATAAAGAACAACATGAATCACCAGCACCAGGCCTGAATAAAAGGGTACAAGGCAGATGAGACATCCCCTTAGAGCTCTGGTTCTCTCATAAATAAAAGGCTACACTTCAGATGTTGAGCAATTTGGAAAAGAAAATATATCAAACTAAGTTTTTATCCAGCTATATGCATCCAGGAAGTAAAATTTACTTTACTATCACTATGTAGATAATATATACTGTGAAGACAAGTCATTTACAAATGCCATCTCTCTTTTCAGCCATCTCTCCCTTTTTGTGCAGGCTGAGTACTTCCTTTTTATTGGAATTAATAACTGCCACATTTTAAAACTACCCAGGTTTTTTCATGGTCCCACTGTAAATTATTTTGCAACATTTCTGCCACACACGATCAATCCTATTCTCTATAAATTCAAACACAACAGTTCCTTTTTGCCCCCTGGCCACCTCTCTCTCAGATCCTCCTGCTCTAATGTGTAGTAGCTTATGCCTAGGCTTCCTTCCTAGCTACTGTCCTAAGATACTCCTTTACTTTGACCCTGTGCTACAATTTATTTTCTGGATCCTACGTTTTCTTCCTCTTTGTTTACCATTTTGTTTTTTTTCCTTTTTTTTTTTTTTTTTTTTTTTTTTTTTTTTGACCGGCAACGGATCGCAACCCTCAGTGTCGTGCCCGTACTGGACCGGGACCGGCAACGGGATCGCAACCCTCGGTGTTGCACCTGCACCTCACTCAGCCAGTGAGTGGCCAGTCTGTATGTGGGATCCAAACCCTTGGCGGGAGCACCGCCGCGCTCCCAAGCGGCGCACTGTAGCAGTGCGCCACCAGGCCAGCCCTGCCATTTTGTTTTAATTGATTGTTCTTGACTAACCACATATACAGTCTGTATGTGGGATCCAAACCCTTGGCGGGAGCGCCGCCGCGCCACCAGGCCAGCCCTGCCATTTTGTTTTAATTGATTGTTCTTGACTAACCACATATACATTTAGGTTGAAAATGTGTTTTCTCCCCAGTGTTAGAATTTCCAGTGTTGCTATTTAGAAGGTCAATGCCATTTTGATTTTCATTTTGAACCACCGTTGAAAATCAATTGCCCATACTTGTATATGTGCGGTCTATTTCTGTATGCCCTGCTCTGTTCCAATGATTTGTCTATCTTTATGCCAACATCTGGAAGCCCTGATGATTCCTGTTTTATAATAATAAGCACTGAAACTTATTTTCTTTTTTAAAAGCTGTTTGGCTATTCCAGATGCTCTGCCTTTCAAATGAATTTTAGAATGAGCTTGTTAATTCTGACAAAAAAGCTTGCTGGGATTTTGATTGGGATTGTATTGAGTCTATAGATCAATTTAGGGAGAATTATTGATTTTTTTTTTTTTTTTTTAACAACCCTGGGTCTTTTGATCCATGAAAACCGCGAATCTCTCCATTTATTTAGGTCTTCTTTAATTTCTCTCAGCACTGTTTTGTAGCTTAGTCCATTTATAATACCACAGACCGGGTAATTTATAAACAACAGAAGTTTATTTGGCTTGTGGTTCTGGAGGCTGGGAAGTCCAAGACAGAGGGGCTGCAACTGGTGAGGGCCTTTTTGCTGGGTCACAACATGGCAAAAGGCATCATGTGGTGAGAAAGCGCATATAAGTGAAACCAAAAGAGGACAGAACTTGCTTTTGTAACTAGTCCACTCTTGCTATAATGACATTAATCCATTCATGAGAACAGAGCCCTCACAGCCTAATCACTGCTTAAATATCTCACCCTCTCAACACTGTTGCATTGGGGATTAAGTTTCCAACACCAGAACTTTAGGGGACACATTCAAACCACAGCAGTAATTATCAGTGTAGACGGTACAGATTTGTCACTGCTTTTGTAAGATTTCTGCCTCAGTATTTCATAATTTTTTATGCTACTGCAAGTGGCACAATTTTAAAATTTTGATTTCATGTAGAAACACAGTTGCTTACTGAATGCTGATCTTACATCCCAAAACCTTATTATACTTACTTCCAGTAGTAATTTTGCAGATATCACATGATTTTCTATAAAAATATAATCATGGTATTGGTAAATAAAGACAGGTTTAGTTCCTCCTTTCCAATCAGGATTGCTTTTCTTTCTTTTTCTTGCCTTACTGGACTGGCTACTTACTGCATAGTACATTGTTAAATAAAGGCGATAAGAGAAATCATTATATTTTTCTTGATCCAAGGAGAAAAAAAAAATTTCTTTTTTAAACCATTAAGTTTAATGCCAATGGTAAGTTTTCCAAAGACAAAGATGTCCATTACCAGGTTAAGGACATTCACTTCTATTCCAAGTTTGCTTGAGAATATCAGAAATGGATATTGGATTTTGTCAAATGCTTTTTCTAAATTTATTGAGATGAACACATGGCTTACCCTTTTGGTTTATAATGAATATAGTGAATTACATTCATTGATTTTCAAATGTTAAACTAACCTTGCATTCCTGAAATGAAATCTACTTGGTCATGATGTACAAGGGTACTTCAGAAAGTTCATGGAAAGATTCTTTCAATTCTATTTTTCCATGAACTTTCTGAAGTACCCTCATAGACCCTTTTGTACATTGTTAGATTCCAATTGCTAAAATCTTGCTAAGATTTTCCATCTATGTTCACGATAAATATTGATGTATAGCTTTCTTTTCTTTGGTTTGGGTATCCAGGTAATGTTGGTCTCATAAAACAAGTTGCAAAGCATTACCTCCTATTGGATTTTCTGGAAGTTTGTGTAGAATTGGTAATACTTCTTAAATATTTTGCAGAATTCATCAATGTAAGCCACTTAGGTCTGACATTTTCTTTGTGGGAAGGTTTTTAGCAACGAATTAAATTTTTCTAAGAGATAAAGGGTTTTTGGGTTATCTATTTCTTCTTGAGCTTTGGAAATCTGTGTCTTTTAAGAAAAATCTTCATTTTATCTAACTTGTTGAATTTATTGGTACACATTTGTTCATAATATTCCCTTACCTTTTCAATACCTGTAAAGTCTGTAAGGATGCCACCTCTCTTATTCTCAATATTGGCAATGTGTGTCCTCTCTCTTTCCTCATCAGTCTGGCTAGTGGTTTACCCATTTGATTGATATACTCAACGAATCAGGTTTTGATTTCACTGATTTTCTCTACTGCTTTCCACCCTATTTTATTGATTTCTCCTTTGATTTTTATTATTTCCTTTCTTCTACTTACTTTGTGTAGTAGTGTTTCTGTTGCTTATAATAAAAGATTTGGAACTGGGTGATTCCACCATTATTAATCCATTCACTACAGCATGGTCCTACAATTTAATCAACTCTTCAAGGCCCCACCTTTCAGTTACTGTAATAGGATTTCCAACTTTCTCAATGCTGTCACAGTGGGAATTAAGCTTCTATTACCTGAACTTTGGGGGACACAATTCAGTCAGTCCACAGCACTTTAGATTTCATCTGCTCTTCCCTTCTAGTTTATTAAGATAGCTTAGTTGAAGTCATTGATTTGAAATCTTTCTTTTCTAATACGGGTGTTTAATATGACAAGTTTTAATCTAATTACTGCTGTAGCAGTCTCCCACAAATACTGATTTTTGAATTATCATCTTCATTCAGTTTAATATACTTTCTAAATATCCTTTTGATTTCTTTGTTTATTTAGAAGTGGTTTTTATTTACTTTCCAAATACTTCCAGAGATCTTCCTGTTATTGATTTCTAGTTTAATTACATTGTGGTCACAGAATACACTTAAATCCTTCTACATTTATTGTCCTTTTTCTCATAGCCTTAGAATATGATCTATCCTGGTAAATGTCCCATGTGCACTTTAAAAGAATGTGTATTCTGCTATTGTTGGGTGGAGTATTCTATAAATGTCCATTAGGTCAAGTTGATTGATAACAGTTATGTTCAAATCTTCTATATCCTAACCAATTTCCTGTCTACTTTTTCTATGAGTTATTAAGAGAAATGTATTGAAATCTCCAATTATAACTGGATTTCTCTATTTCTCCTTGAAATATGGTAAGTTCTTGTTTCATGTATTTTGAAGCTCTATTATTAGGTGCATAAATTCTTAGCTGTTTTATCATCTTAATAAATTGACTCTGTAATTAAAAAGTAACTTAACCCTAATAATATTTCTTAGCTCTAAAATTTAGTTTTTCTGATATTTATATAACCAGTCGACATTTCTTTTCACTGTTAACATACCTTTCTTTACCCTTTTATTTTAACCTATTTTGTAGCTTTATGTTTTAAAGTGCATTTCTTGTAGGCAGCATATAGTTAGGTCTGCTTTATAAACGTATTCTGCCTTCTTTTGTATTAACTAAGTATTTTATTATTCCCTGTTATCTTTGCTGTTTTTTAAGCTATAATTCTATATATCATAAAGTTCACCTGTTTAATTGTACAACTCAATGGGTTTTAGTATATTTAGTTTTACAACCCATCACCACAATCTAACTTTAGGACATTTTCATCACCCCTCAAAGAAACCTTGTATCCATTAGTAATCACTCCCTATTCCACCCCCTGCCCTACCCTAATACTTAGGCAACTAGTAATCTACTTTCTGACTCCACAGACTTGCCCATTCTGTTTATATAAATGGAGTAATATATGATCTTTTGTGAATGGCATTCTTTAATGGCATACTTGAATGTTTTGAGATTCATCCATGTTATAACATTACTTCATTCCTTAAAAACTCAATTATCTTTCACAGAGATTTAGATAATAAAAAACATTTACCATTTCCAGTGTTGTTCTTTCTTTTG